AATTAAAGTACATTTTTACTGGCATGCATACTCAGCAGCAAGTTCATGCCACCAAAATCGATATCGTTTGGATAAGATTTCTACTGGGCTAATACGTACGCACATCTACGACTCAAACATTTTTCCATACATACACACATAAATTTGAATTAACTCTTATATGGAATATGGCTTTACGATGCCATCTTCATGCGCTCCTCCTGCCTGCCCATACTAGGAGTACGTAAGTACATATCGCACACCGTCTTCAAAAGAGTCACAACTCAAAATAATACGTTCGTCAGAAAATGCGTAAAACTATTTCGTAGCACATGCCAATCATATGGGCAAGGTCGACTTTACCTTAGGTTTTTGTATTAACAAATTATAACAAAAATTTGCTCCAGCTTTTGCTAAAAGGCAAATAAAAGCTCTGTGTACATTTTTAAGGCCTTATTCATAAAAAGTAAAGTAGCTTTAAAAAAAGGTTTATAAACAGAAAAATGTATGAAAACGTCATTTTATAAAGCTCTTTAAACTTACTTTATTTTTTATGAATAAGGCCATTAGTGAATAATTTCAAAAATGCCAAATTTTGAGTTGTGACTCTTTTGAAGACGGTGTGCTGCGATATGTACATAGAATGATTGCAGATTTTATTTGTCTGTTGGCCTGTCTATAACGATGTACATTTTTATGCACATGTGATTGTCTGACTGACAGACCGACCATCTGACTGCCTAAGCTAAGCAGTTCGTTTTGTTAGGTGTGTGGTTGGCACGATGATTTGATGATGGTTTTTTGTATTTTATTGTTAGATTCAAGCTTGTTAGGTAAGTTTCTCTCTTAGCTGTGCCAATACCACACACTTTTCCAGCAATACTTAGTACCTACGTATGCAGGTGTGTACATTAGGATGGAGCGGTGATAAAAATGTTTGCATTCCGAAAATCCCTTAGCGGTGAATCGTTGCCTTTGAACGCCAACAGAATAATCAAAATTTATTTTAAATCGGTAAATAGTTTCTGCCTACCTAACTTAATTGAAATTTTGACATATTTGTTAATTCTAAGCAATAAAGTAAGTTATCGAAATCATCTTTTGAAAAACTCTCTTTTATAATAATAATGCGTTAGTTTGAAATAGCTAGTAAGGCGTAGCCTTAATTTTAAAGTTTTTTTCGTTGAAAGTGTTGGTCATTGTATCAATGTAAAAACATTATCGAACATACTTTGTTTCCAACCGAATGTGTAATACCATCATCTGCGGTATATTGTATGCACTTCATACTTACATTTTATTATACTATATTTAATGGCCCACAAAACTGCACACCTAAATTAAAAAAAAAATATGCTTTGATAAATTACGTGATTTCTTTAGAATTTTCTAAAACCTCTAAATTTCAATAAAAAAATGGGAGGTAGAAGGTATTAACTGAATTAAAAAGAAAATAAATTAGAGACAAAGATCCCCGCCATTAGAATTTCGAAACACAAAATTTTGTTTGTTCCGCCCTAATCTGCATACGTTCTACTGCTCTCCGACCCAGTGCCAACATTTGCTCCATCAGCAGCAGCAGCAGCAGCCGCCCCACAGTAATTCTGGCATTCTATGACTCTTTATACTTACTTATATGGGTTTGTGTATGGGTACGTACCCTGCAGGGAAAGCTACTAACTGCTTGTGAACTAGAATACTACCAGTTAACTTTTCAGCTCAACCAGTTCGTCTTCCATTCTTTTTGTAAGCTGGCGATATCATATAAATTTTTAATTTTTTTTTTAAATACAACTTGCAAGAAACGATTCATTTAAAGTATGTAAAATAACACAAACCGTTTAAATTATAATTCACTCAATAAAGATAGACTATAAAATGGAAAATTTAAATCACATTTTGTTTTAGTGAAATCAAGTTTCGTTATTTTTCGTACATTTTAATTATTTGAAGATTTCATTCTTCTGAAACTTTCTTTAAAAAATTATTAGTTTTTAAAATGTTAATAAGCCACAATAACCTTGGCAAATACATAGTTTAGGAAGAGCCTGCCTTTAACTATACAATACAGCAAATGCATGTATAGAATTGACAACAACAACCACGCTGTCAAGTTTAAATAGCGGAAAGTCTGCTACATTTGATAGTAGTAGGTTGAGTAAGGAAAGGAATTAGCAACGGGATGTGTGCAGCTGAGTGGTTAACGCTTCTGACTTTGCACATCGATGACGCGGGTTCGATCCCTGCTGAAGTCTAGAAAAAAGAAGTCTGATGAGGAAATGTGGTTGTCTTCGCTTATAGACTTTTGCTTTTTCCATTTTTCCTTATAAAAAAAAACAATCGTGGTACAAAGCTCAATAATAATATTAAAAATAAAATGTTAACAAGCCCACGATACCATTTAAAATTTATTGTTTTAAAAAGTAAGTAATATTTTTTTAATTAAATTAAATATTTATGGTATTAAATTAAATATGGTAAATTAAAATTAAAAATTAATATGAAATAATTCACACTCAGGCAGGTTCTGCCTGCAGGTTCACCTCCTAGTGAAATTCAACCCCATCCAATTCGTATTCAAAGTGACCTTTGTTGAATTTCACTCGAAAGTGAGTTGCAGAAACTGCCTGATTAACTTACTTTAACCACCTTCAAGCGGGTTCGAAGCTGCAATCTCAGAACCAGAAGCGGTAGCGTACAAGCGACGCCAGATGTCGTCGCTAGCATAAGTGTTACGAATTTAGCGCATACCAGTTAATGAACTACTATATTTACTGACTGGGTTGACTTTTCACCGCACCGGGTACATATTATACCTGTGTGATTGCATGGCTCTAGCTATGCGCTGTTTTTGTGCGGAATTGTGTATCCGTTGGATACGTTTGGTTATTCTTGTACTCAATTATACGGGAATTACGCGTCTATCTACGCTTCACGAGTGGCTAACCAACAAAATACACACGTATGTACATGCATAATAGATGGGCACACTAGCTTGGTTGTGCTTCGTTCAACACGTGTACATACATATGTGAATATGCATTTACATATGTATGTACCTATGCTTTCGTGGTCACATTCATACATAGTATATGAGCATATGTATTTTTCTGCAAAGAATTGGTGCAGTTGCCTTGAAGTGGCGGCTAGTTGGCTAAGGCTTGGCAAGGAGTTGACTATAATGAATTAATTGTTGCAGTGTGACAGTTATTATTTCTACTTATGCATTTAATCATTTATTTTTCTTTGTGTGTGGATTTTTCATTCTGACGACTGCTGTGGCTGAGTGGTTAGGGGTGTGCACTACCACTCCGCGGTACTTGGGTTTGAACCCTGAATATTATTAGAAAACGTTTTTTTTTTTTAAGCGGGCGACCCTCGAACAGGGAATTGCAAACCTCGGAGTGTATTTCTGCTGTAGGTTCGTCCCTCCATTTGTA